GTGTTGTTAGCATACTCTGAACTTTGAAACATCACCAGTGATCTTCTTTCCCAGTAAGATCCCTTTTGGTCCAAATGTTGTTTCCTCCCCTTAAACCAAGCTTTGATTCTTTTACATTTTGGAACACCTTATCCAGAATTTTCTTTTTCCCTAAGTGGCACTGTATCCAATATATATGATTATATCGGCTAGATTTCCTGTGTTGCTTGTCTTAAAATATCAGTTATCTTATGAAGAGACATGTCAGATTAATTTGGAGTAGTGATAGTCTATTTTGGGATAAAGCTGTTATTCATTATATTCCATTTTTCATTACCTCAGTGTCTCTAGTTATGCAGTGCTTCATAATTTGTTTCAAATCCTTGCACAACTCATGAGGTCAGAGCCACTTGTTTTTATGTTGCCTGGATCATGTACCTCCTTTTTTTATTAGAAGAAAAACAAGTTAGATTTTTTATTTTTTATATATTTGATTACCAGCCTGATAGATTCATTAAAAGTCTTTGTTATTAAACTGGCCTTTCATGTGCAAGTATTGTGAATACTCTCAAGTGGAGATTATGGGGTCTCGCCCTCCTGATCTAGACACTTCCTTAAAAACAGCTTTATGTCTTTGTTTTGTTCTCATCTTAGATGAGTAATTTTCATTTCCACAGTCTGTATCATTAGCCACACTGCATTTGCTACTGTAGTCAACATCCCCATATTAATTTTGTTTTGGACTGTCTGTAAATTATCTTTAATCTGAACTGCTTTTTGCTGCTTGGTGAAGACACTTTTTTCCTTGTTTTCTTTTTATTTGGATGATGAAAGTACATTTTAGTATTTGCAATTTTGCAAGATCTGACCCTGCCTAACGTTATCTGTTCTTACTTTCTCCATGTATTTTCTGACATCTTACAGTTTTCCTTGCATATTAGTTTCATTTTCCACCCTACAAGCTTTCTGCATATTCCAGATATACTCTCTAAGGTGACTGCTCATCTAATAAGAAATAGAGCCCTTTGTTATAAAAGGTTTTTCCACATGTTTGAAGCTGCAAGTTTTTCACGGCCTTTTCCTAAAGGAATTCTAGCACTTCCTTGAGTCTTCATTATTTCCCTTTTTTTCTGATTTTTTAAAAGTGAAATTCTGATTTATTTATCTTTAGCATTTATTCATGTTACAGCTTCTTTTTTTTTTTTTTTTTTTTTTTTTTTTTAAAAAAAAAAAGAATGAATGTGTCATCACTTACTCTGAGATATAGCTTTCTCAGCCAATTATTTATCAAGGTCTTGTAGCTCACTTTTCTTGTGCATCATGTCACATCCTCAGATAACTGAGTCTATCCCTTATTAGTTGAATTTATTTTCTGGGAAGTTACAATATCACCTCACAGTTTTCATAGTGCTATTTACTATTTCATAATATTAATTGCTTTCTAAATAATACAGAAATTTATATACAACAAAAGGGATCCTACCCAACCTTTCTGAAAGGAATCTGAAACCAATGAGAAACCATTTGTACCCTCTCTAAATTTCTTACAGGTTATCATGTACTCGCTTTATAGTCCATCACATCATTATTTTTGCCATGGGGAAGACTATAAGATTGGTACACGTGGACTTGGGAAACAAGCAAGAAGATTACTATGTCATCTATGTGACAGGGATGATACAGTGAGTTACACAAGCTATTGCAGGCAGTCTTATGGTGTTCTACACTCCAATATAGTCCTCTCACTCAAATTTTGGTGCAGAATATTGCCATTGTTTTAAAATTAAAGAAAAGTCAATTTGCAAAATGAGGATATTTTAAGGGGGTGGTCAAGGTGAAAATCATTAATACCGTGTTACAAATTCATATTAGTTAAATTCTTTATAGTTGCTTTCAGTTGCATGGAAGTCATCTTCTATTATCTCTCTCAGTTTAATTAATCTCAGGTTTTTGCATTTCCTTGTTAATTAAGCCAAGAAACTATTCCGTATGACTACTCTCATCAAAGTCTTTTATTCATTTTCCTTAAGCAAGCTGCATGAATTTTACATGAAATTATTTTTTTTTCCTTTATGTATCGTATGTTAGATTAATGCATCTCTAACTGCGAAAAGTTAGTGCTGCTGGACCAGCAGTACTAACCAGCAGTGGCTTCTACTTTACTCTGTCATTTAGACGTGGAAATAGAAATATCAGTCCTTTTACAAGAGCATCTTTTCTTCACAAGCAGTCATCAAACTGTTAAGTCACAAGAATGCCTAACATGGAGAATGCAAAATCATTGTGATAAGTAATCCTTGAAGGGAAAAATGGGGAGATGTTTATGTTTTGTCTTTAGTTTTTTTAGGCTACCCTAGGACTTCTCACCATTTTCCAGAATGGTTTATGGTGTCACCTGTCAGTGAAGCAGAGTAATAACAAGTGTATGTTTTTATTATATATTTTATATCCTACTTTTTTTTTTTTTTTCCTTGTCTTTTACCAACAGAGTTATTCAGCAATTTTTAAGGTGGCAACTCCTGTTTTAAACAAAAACTAACATGATTCTCTCATATGTTTCTGAACTATGTTTTTTTCATCTGTTGAACTGTACATTGTCTTAGGACCATGTTGTAAGGCAAACAAAATTTTATTGAGCAACAGAAGATACTCTTTTTTTCTCATTAAATTATCCTATTTACAATACTTATTTAAATTCCTTCTTATTAACAGAAGACTGGGCTTGTATTTTCAGGCAGTTGATTCTAACTGCAGGCAAGAGATGCATTTAAAATAGACTGCAATAAGATTCTATTTTTGAGATATAGTGATTGGAAGGGAATCTTCTGTCAATCAGTTATACATTCAAATGGTATTTATTTTAAAATTTAATATTCTAGTTTAAAACATTTTCAATAGTTTTCACATTTACTACCTAAATTTGTAAAGGAATGCTAAAGAATTAAGTGATCAAAATTTGCACCTGGAATTCAATGTGGAACATGATATTTAATGTGCAACATAAAAAACTGTCAATTCATCTGCATATTTGGGTATCTTTCAAGAAAACTAAAGAATTATTAAAAACAAACTTTCTTTACTTCTATAATTCTTCATGCTATTAGATAAATTACAAATTTTAAACAATGCATTATTCAACTGACGGAAGGCTAGCATGTTATGTCCTAATAGATTGAGCAGCTACTTTAAGATACCTCACACTTAGCAAATATTCATAAGTAAATATATTACTATGAGGATCAATATACTACATTGACAATATTGTGTTGTGGTTTGAGCCTGGTTGGCAGCCAAACATCATACAGCCACTCTCTCCCCCTTCTCTTCCGGAAATAAGAAGGGACAGAGAGCCAGGCTTGGGGTTCGAGATAGGACTGGGAAAGGAAAATCACCCTTTCTAGTCATGAGTGAAAGGCAGACTTGTTAGGGGAAAAAAAAAAAGAACATACATTTATTACAGACACTAACAACACTTAACAGAGTAGGACAGTGAGAAGCATTGCCACATCTTGAGAACACCTTCCCCCCGCCCCTCCTTTCTTCCTGGGCTCAGCTCTGCTCCCGATATCTCTACCTCCTCCCCCAGCAGTGCAGGGGCAGGGAATGGGGGGGTGCAGTCAGTGATGCTGTTTCTTCCATCTTCGGTGGGGGGAGCTTCTGGAACTTGTTCCCCCTGCTCCATCGTGGTTCCCCCTCTCACAGGAGACAGTCCTCCACAAACTTTCTCCGACATGAATTCCTCCCATGGGCCGCAGCGTTCCCCACACTGCTCCGTCATGGGTCACCAACTCTCTGACTGGAGTCCCTCCCACGGCTGCAGCCCTTCCCGAGCTGCTCCGGCGTGGGACACCCCCACATGCTGCAATCCTCCCAGCGCTGAATTACAGCAACGGGGCTACCTTTTCCCACAAGACCCCAGCCTTCTGGCACAGCACCTTGATCACCCATGCGAAACACCTCACAGGCCATGAATCAATGTCTGCTCCACCGTAGATCTTCATGGGTGGCAGGGGGGGCCGCCCTGCCGTCTCACCACAGGATACAGGGGGGTGTCTGCTCCAGCACACCTCCCCCCTCCTTTCTTCCTCCGTTCCTCCACTGACCTTGGTGTTCATGCAGCTGCAGCAACTCCTCCTCACCAGTCCCTCTGCACATCACCATGTCCCTTCTTAAATACGTTATCGCAGAGGTGCAGCTGATTGGCTCAGTTTCCAAACAGAGGTGGAGCTGGCTTGGATCTGGGGGAACTCTGAGAAGCTTCTCAGAGGAGGCCACCCCGATAGCCCCCTCCCCTGCCACCGAAAAAAACCCACCACTCACTCAAACCCAGGACACGTGTTAATACTTAAAGACAAAATTCAGTTTTGCAGCAGCTTCCAAGTAGAATCTAAATGGGTGGGAGAAGACTGGAGGAAGCAGTAGCCAGAGGAGGCCTCAGGAAGAAGGATTTGCACCTTTCAGTGCAGAGGTAGGAGCTGCAGCTGCTGCTGCATGAGAGAGTTACTGATTCCTGCTGTAGCTGGCCCTCTCCATGCTCCTTTTCAGCGTTTGCACCATAACAGTTAATCCTGTGTGCTCAGGCTGCAGTTTCTACCTGTTCTTTGCCTACAGCTGGCCAAGGAAGTGAATGGAATCTCTGCACTCAGAGTTTTGTTGTGTTGATAATAGTTAATAGTAAATAAATATGGGGATGAGAAAGAGATGAAAGTAGTAAGAAAGCCTATTGTTCATACACGATATTTCAGTTCTGTATTCCTTCTTAAAATAAGAATTAATCTGTAGACCTATCAAAGTTATATACATTACATTTCAAAGTCATGGTGATTTCAAGTGTCTCTTCATATTTAAGCTCATCTTTATTAATTTCTATTTTTAATTTTATATGAACTATGTTAAGTGAATCTGTTAATCATGTTCATTTCAAACTACAATTGATAGAATCTATTTTAAAAGCTGGATTAGAAAATATCACTTTCTGAATGAAAAAAAGGACTTGACACACTCTTTCCTTCCATTGCTAGGCCATGGGAAGTGTGACTGTGGGAAGTGCAAATGTGATGAAGGCTGGTATGGTGAAGCTTGTCAGTATCCAACTACTTGCAATCTTACACGGAAGAAAAGCAATGAAATGTGCAAGAATTCTCAAGATATCATCTGTTCTGGTGCAGGTAAGATGTCTTTTGTTGCTTTTGATGGCTTGATGTTCTCCCTGTGTTATTTTGAGAATCACTGTAATTTATTTGCTAGTTAGGAATTTTGTAGAGTATATTTCAAGAAAGTGAGAAATAACTGTATGTATACTAAAATGCTTAATTTTCCTATAGGCCTATTCCTGTGCATATGATGTGTACTGATTCAGAATGTCTACTTTAGTACTCTAGTTTATCCATATTAGCTATTTTAGGTTGATGAAATTGCAGCTGTGTCATGTATTTTGCCCATCAGAAGGTTCTGATAATGGCAGTAACAGAGAAAGTGATGTCATTTTTTTGTGTTTATAGCATGCAGAAATAGCATTTTCAAATATTTTCTCAGGACATTTATAAGATGCACAGTTTTGTTGAGACGTTTTTGAGCTGTAACAATGATTATTAAAAACAGTTGTGGAAGATCTGCTGAATCATTTTAATGTGGTACTTCCATCTTCACTTTTTTGATTTGGTAACCCTTTTTTTCTCTAATTCTTTAATTTTATAATTCATCCTAACTTAATTAGAAAGTTCTTTCCTTAAAAAAGTTGGAGAAAGAAGAAAAAGCCTTTAGATGATTTCACTGCAGAATGGTTAAATTTTGAAGGGCATTTTCTACCAGTCAAAGTTTGAGACCAGAAACTGCCTTCCAGTTTTCCCATTACATTGATCTCACAGTGAGAGAATGTTTCAAGAACCCCACTTCCGCTCACTATTGCTGGCCTTTAATTTCTGTCTGGGTCCGTACATTTTCATACAACTAAATTTCTCACAAGGTAGTTGCTGACATGAGCAGACAACCCAAAGGATTTGTGGGACTTGATACAGAGAAGCTAGGCTCTCAGAAGAAGATATGAAACCAGTTTAAAGTAAAATTTTAAGCATACAGCATACTAAGTAGATGATACATTTAATTTATGACAATAATATAGATTATATGAAACTCATAATTTGACTAAGAAGCAAGAGGCACCTAAATGAGAAACTGACTCTCAAAAATAAGCGTAGTTCATTGTGATCAGTCGAAGCACTTAGATAAGAATGTTAGGACTTTTTTTTCCTCTTTCTTTGGCTAGAAGTGGCCTCAGTCTGTCTAACATTGAGTCTTCACAGGAAAACCAATGTAGCTGAACAGCCACTAAAAGTGGCTAAGAGGGGAGTGTTTGAGAGATCAGGTGAAGAATAAATGCCTTCAGTTTTTCTGGTATCAAATGGGACAGGAATTCCAATGAGACTGGCTAGGGAGTTTGGGGTAAATTTGATAGGCTGTAGCCATACATATTTTGTCTTGATGGGATTGCCTTTGGTGTCTGAGCTCTGTTTATTTGCCAATAAAAGATGTGAAGGGATGACATGAGTTGTTGCAAAAACAGTCTTCTGCTGCCATGCAGCTAAGCATTTATTGTAATTCTTTTCATGAATCAATCAAGATACACCTATAATTTAACTTTTCTGACTCAGCTGTTCCTAATCATTTGTCAGAGAAACTAGGGCATCCTACCTAAACTGAGATTCTCTATGTGAGCAATTTCCGCTTCTCGCCAATGGGAAGGAATGGACGCTTTCAGGACACAGTCTGTTTGACCTCTTTAGATGCCTAATTTAGGAATCAATTCACCTTTTTATTTTTTTCCTGTTAGCAAACTATCTGTAAATAAGAAAATTTCCTCAAAATCTTTATTTGTATTTATTATCCAAGTAATTATAGTAAATAATTCTAGGTCTGTAGGTTACTTACATTGTATTATGAGTTGTATTATTATTATTTCATTATATCAGTTATTGCAAACATTTTTAAAGTTTACTTTTTTAGACTGGTCAAGTTTGTTGCAGAACCTAATTCTTCTGTTCTTTGTTTGGATAAATATAATGTTTAATAAGACTGGTACTACATTTGTAATGGTGAAATGTAAAATGGTTTCTGCAAACTAGTCGTGTAATATCAACATAAGACTTCTATTTTGGAGGAGTTCCTTTGTGTCAATAACCATGTTTTCTATAATATGATGGATGTAATATGATGGATGTAAGATGAGGAGTGTAAGTCTTGTGAATTAATTATTTTTTTTTTAAACTATACTTACTGGCATAGTGATGCCAGTCCCTGCTGAAGCAGCTTGTGCAAGCCCATTGATGACAAGGTCCCAGTTAACATGGTATTGCACAAAGTTCCTACAGTTACAGTTTTAATAAAGGTGATAGAGGTAGGAGAAAGGGGCGTCTTACATGACTGGCATGGCAATATTTTATAGAGGTAGGAGAAAGGGGCGTCTTACATGACTGGCATGGCAATATTTTTCTAATATGATTTTATAATATTTTTTGCTTTTTTTGACTGTATAACTCCTTAATATGTTTATTTATGATTAATCATGCATTATGCTCCAAACTAGAAACTGTTCAGGAGGAGGAAGAGATAGCGGTTGTTTGCTTTGCCCTAGCAACGGCACTGTAGGTCAAATAGACTCTCTGAGGGAAAAGTGGGGATTCTTCCTTCCCTGAGAGCAAAAACCAAAACTTCTTCTGTTTGGGACAGTGGGTCATGAAGAAAGGAAGCCACTGAGGTGAGGGGACAACCCTGCACAAAAGAACAAGAAGCAAATGTGTGACCAGACCAGAGGTGACTGGAGAGAGATCTGTTTACAAACCCATTTCCATTCTTTGCATCACCTGAGTGCTTTGGCTGTTCCTTATGTCAGAAAGTCTTCTATTGTCGTTTAAGTTGCAAGAAAAAACTGCTCTACACTTCCGAAGGAGCATTTGGGAGCGCTGTGGGCACTTAGATTGAGGGAGAATCTCAGGCAGATCTGTGTTCTCAAACTACTTGCTGGTCTGACATGGATAAAACCCATCTTTCTTGTGACAAATCTGCAAGTGTCTTTGTTACGGCTCTTAATGTTCTTGTAAGATCTACTCTTTTCTGAGACATTACTCACAAACTGAAGAAAATGAGCCCTAAAAGCTTAAAGTTAGATTGGGTCAGAGTCCTGAAATAACAAGATACTATTACAGCAGTTCCTACAGTTCTTCAAATGAATGAAATAACTCGCAATGTGGACATCAATACCATTGGAAAAATATGCATTTTGCAGTAAATTGTTGATATGGTATTATAATACTTATGTTTTTTTTTAAACAATGTTATGAATGTATTTCTCTTCAATTAGCTTGTCTGTTGTATAATTAATATATTGCTGTGGTAATTCCTTACTAGCTTGAGTCCTTTTATCCTGACATCTGATCATAAGGTCTTCATGAAGATGCTCCTCACCAGTGTTTCCTTCCTTTGATTCCTGGCTTTTTATCCAAGGCTATACTTATAAAATCTTAATCCTCAGATAATAGCTGTAGAAAAGGGAGTAGAGACTAGAGTGCAAAGAAACTTTGTGCACTTAGGCAGACAGTTTTCAGGTCCTCAGTGGTCATGCTCTGTTACTCTCATGTAACATGGCTGTGGAATTGGATAAAAGCAGGCTTCATTCTTGAGAAGATGACTAAGTTAAATTTTCTCCTTTCAGTGGGTAGAATATATAATATCTAAAGCTGACTTCGCATGTGTCGTTGTTTAAGCCAAGAGGGCAACTGAGCACCAGCAGAGGTGCTCACTCACTTCTTCCCCCTCAGGGATGAGGAGAAGAAAATAAAACAAAAGGCTTGGGGATTGAGACAAGGACAGGGAGGGATGACTCACCCATTATGGTCATGGGCAAAAGACAGACTCCATTGGGGATGGAAAAGAAAGAACATCAATTTAATTTGAACACCATCAGCACCACTAATTTACCAGTCAAACAAGTAGGGCAATGAGAAACACAACCACATATTAAAAACACCTTCTCCCCAACTCTCCTTTCTTCCCAGGCTCAGCTTTGCTCCTGATTTCTCTGCCTCATCCCTACCAGCAACGCAGAGGTCAGGGGATGGTTGTTGATGTCAGTTCATCACCCATTGTTTCTGCCATTCCTTCCTCATCATGGGGAGGACTCCTCACACTCTTCCCCTGCTCCATTCCCCTGGATGATATTTAGATTTCAGCCTTCTCAGAAATAAAATACCTACCATCTCTGATGAAACTCTTCCCATAAACTGCAATCACTGAGTACTGTCTTAAATGTTTACAGGCACGTGTCAGTGTGGCAGGTGTAAATGTGCAAACTCAGAAGGAAATGGACTGGTCTATGGTAAATTTTGTGAATGTGATGACAGAGAATGCATAGATGATGAGACAGAAGAGATCTGTACAGGTATGTATTTTAGTGAGTACAAGAATGGTGAAGATTAATATAGGCTGTTACAAAATCATTTGAATGTATGGACCTGCAAAATATCTTCAATGAATGTATGAATTAAAGTAAAAGTAACTATATTTGCAAGAATTTACCTTGCAAATTGTAAGTGAGAATTTCAGATGCAAAAATGAGCTAAGCAGTAGGTTAAAGAATGAAGAAATCCTGTGACATCCTCCTCTTTTTGGAAGAACTGCAAAGAGGATTATCCAAGGTAATTCACTAAGGTAATTCATAGCTTAGTGTGTCTGTCTTTGGTAGAATATAAGAAATGTGAATGCTTTGTGGCACAGATGAGAGCAAGATGAAGGACATAGAAAAAAAAAAAAAAAGAAAAAACAAAAGAAAAAAGAAAAACAGATTAAGAATTTTGTCAAGGAAGCAAAAATTAAAAAGAACAAAAATAAATGTAGGATGGGAACTCAGAAGCAATTCAGGAGATAAAAAGGGAAAGGAGTGAATGAAGAAAAATTTAATCTCTCGTAGGAAAGACAAGAGAATAAGATGGAGTGAACTCTGCTGATAGAAAAGCAACCAAAATTCAAACTGTGCTTTCATTTCATTATAAGATAGGAACCTGGCAATTAGATATTGTGCAATACACACCATTTATGGCATTATAAACGCTGTTGCCTATATTACAAGGGAGGCTTGTCTTTGAGCTGGAAGGTGCTACAAATATTTTTCAAGCTATACACATGCATACCGTATCTGTATGCATACAGGAGGGTTCAGAACTGATTTTAGACTATTCATACTCTGATAATAGTGCTTGCTCTGTGTGTGTATAGAGAGTATTTCTGTAAATTAGCTTTATCTGTCTTTATCCTTACACAGAAAACAAAATAAATTATTTTTGTTTAAGTGCTTTTGAAGGCAAAAAGAACTTCTATTTGCATAGAATTTGGCAGAGATTTTAAATGAAGGTAAACATAACAGTCCTCTGAAGTCCAAATCCAGGAGTAGAGTATAATATTTCCAGTAATTGCCTAAAATAAAATGAGTGGAGGGCAATAATTTTTATGTGCCAATGATTCCATTTATATTTATTTGCTTGTAACTATTACATATGATACCAAATATGACAAAAATTTACCATTTATTTAGATCCAGTAAACTCTCCTTCTGCTGTTTTTGTCATTTTTTTTTTCCCACACCTGTTTTACTGCTGGTTTATATTGTTAGGTTTTCCTCAGCTTTTATTTCCCCTTGTTTCATCCACTGGTGCGTATTCCAAAACAGACCAGATGCATCCCTGTTTTATGTGTATGTAGAAATCAAAGTATGCTGATATAAAAGGACAAAAAAATGTTGGTAGATTCAAGTCTTTAAGGTCTGTCATTCATCAGTGTAAAAGCCCTGATACCTTAGGTAAGTTTTGGAGCCTTCTAAAGTAAATATAAGGTATAAACTGACGGTATGCTTGACTTAGGTTATTGTAAACTGAAAAGTTTGTGCATGTAGGTTGTGTTAGATTTTGCTTAGCTTTCTAACACACCTCTACAGTATGTAACCATATGCTGAACCAGGCATTAAGCAGAAAAAATGGACAGCAAATGAACTGAGAGTCAAAGGTACCTACTTTCATGACAGAAGAAGCAAACCTCACATTCCTATATGGTTATTGCTTCTCTTTCCCATCCTGATGTCTCCTTTAATACCCTCTATTCTGTCTTTCATTCCACAGGATTTGCACCACAGGAATCATTTAGGTTTATTGATGAAGTAGTAAAGAAACAGTGTTCCAACCTGGTTCTGCTTAGCTAGCAATGCCCCCTGGACATTCTCCACAGAAAGGGTGAACCTAATCAGTGCCTGTTGTACTTTCACAGTTTGTGTAGCACCTACTTAGTTGCTACATACCCTTTATTGCCCTTGAAGGTATAGACAGGTCTTGAAGATTTTGTCTTCAAAGCAAGCTAACTCAGGAGGATCAAACTAATGAAAAAACAAAAGCTTCTATTTACACACGTTTCTAAACCTGCAGATGTGAGCTGGGATTTTATCCTGGAAAATCATATGATGCCATGGTGAGATACGGATAACATGCATTTTAATCTTTGCACAAGGGGACTGCATTTTTTAATCAAATCAGTTCTTAGGAGGGGAAGAGTTGCAAACATATATCAAGCTTTTCCAGCCTCAGCTGGATTTTTATGAGTCAGTTGACTGTATCACTTTTTGTTTGAGGTTATATAAGCTTTAGAATCAAGGTGCAGCTTAATCTTAATAAAGTATCATGGTTTCTAGCAAATTAAATTCTGATGCTGATCTTTATCTAAGGCTTTTTTTGCTCTAATGCAGTGATTTTGTTTTCAGTCAAGAGCAAGAGGTAGTGGTGAATTGTACAATTTAATTTATATTTGATTGAGGACTATACAAGTGTGAATGAAGAATGAAGTAGTAATGTTTTAATCTCCAAAAATCGCCAGTAGATCAAATTAACTTACTCCTTCACCATTTTTCCTTTTATTTCCTGTCCACTGTTCAAGAACAACCTATTGGTAATAAACATTATTTTAGACTGTCTTTGTTGCTTAGTTATCTAAGATGGTATGTTTATCTTCTGTTTTTTTTCAATATGTAACCAAACAATTGTAATGAAAATTCCATGTGTAATTGTAAAAACAGGAAAAAATTGTATTCCACAGGTCTAACTTTGCACTCATGATAATTAAGGATCTAAGTTGACCAGACTGTGATAGACATGACCAAGACTACTAAGCTTAGCATACCTAGAGGGAATAAGGGACAAGATCCTGATTTGATCCTTTTAGTAAAGAATTACCTTATAGCTTTAAGGTTAGTAAGTGTTGCAGCTACTTAATTTAAATGCTTTGTGTAATTGAAGCACATAGCAGAAGTCCACTAATGGATCAAAATGTTCAGGAGCTGGCTTCATCAAGCCTCAGGGGACCCAAATATCTTTTTGGGAGATGTATGGTTTGTTCACTGAACATCTAAAAGGTTAATTTTACTAATTCTTGTCTTTCATGAACTGGTTTATCCATGCTCAAAAATCTTCTTAACAGGTAAGAAGGAAATCCGTATATAATGTAGACTGTTTGTTGTATAGCAACACCCTTCTGCTGGAATTATCCGAGGAGTCAAGAACACACAATGCCTTCTTAGACATGCCAAGTATGGTGGGAAAGTGTGTCCTATCTTAACATTTAAAGCTGTGCTTAAATTTTAACTATCATATTTACCACCTTCCAAACTTACCTATAAAGTTTCAAAAATTAAGCTTACAAATATAAAAACATTGATGTTATTTTCTTAGTGTTTATTGATTAGATTTAATATGTGATTAAATGTAAACATGTTTTAAAACAGACTTGGGGAAAAGTATAATTCAGATATCCTTTGTCTTATTTTATGTAGGCACATACATTCTATAAATTTTTTTTATTCTGAGTCTATCACTAAAAGTTTTAAAATAAAAGATCAAAATAGTTAAATTGTTAATGCCTTTTAAAAACTTGCCTCTTTCTCACTGTATAAAATTTGTTTTGGCTTAAGGCCATGGAAAGTGTTACTGTGGAAACTGTTACTGTGAGGCTGGTTGGCATGGAGATAAATGTGAATTCCAGTGTGACATCACCCCCTGGGAGATCAAGAAAAGATGCACATCTCCAGATGGCAAAATCTGCAGCAACAGAGGTGTGTCATTTACACATTCCTTCTATGCATTTTTATATAGCTTGCTTTTATTTTACAATATGAATTTTCTGCAGTAGGACATAGATTGTGTTTGCTGATAGTTTCTAGTTTGTTCTCACTTAAAATCTGGATATATGTTTCCAAGTGAGTGGGTAGATACCTGTGTTTAGGTATAAATCTACAAAAATCCACGCCCATTTTTGGATTAAGCTCACCGAAGTTGTTCTCATCCTTCATTTTTGTAGTAAGACTGAGCAGGATAATTTGTTAGTACATCTGCTCTGGCAAGTGACCTATCCTGCAAAATAAAATATTAGAAGATTTTTGACTTTGAATGGAATGGTGCTGTAAGGCCAACAGGACTGTATGTCAATCCACTGTTAAAGAAGACCAAGGACCCACAATTGAATTGGGAAAATTAAAACACAAAGCTTTTAGTTTCTACTGCAACCTGAAAAAACAGGTACGAAGTGTTCAGTAACAATGCAGTGGAATGTATACAGAGCTGGAAAGGTAGATTTCACACAACATTTATAACTACATGGGATTTTACTTGCACAAAATTCCAAAATTTGAATTTTACCTTATACTTCTGTCTAATTTTGCCACTTTCGGAAAAAAAAAAAAAAAAAAGGAAATCACATTTAAGGTTGCTTTCCACTAGCTGCTATGTTTGGCTTCATTGAACAAAGAGTTAAAAAAACATGTTATTTTTTTTGGCAGTAGCCCAGAATAATTACAGTGGAACGTAAGTGCAAGTCACATAGATATCTCTCTTAAAAACATCTCTACTGACAAAATTTGTTATAGTGTGAACATCTAATTATCCTGAGAACATTTAGAAAACTTCACTTAATTGTGATGAAATTGAACCATTGGTTCAAATACAGAGATCACGTAGGCTCATTTTGTCTTGAGACTTCAGCAGTAAACACTGTTGTCAGTGTTTTTTCTTCTCCTTCAGTAATGTCACTGAATTCTGAAAGTATAAAAAATCCAGCACAAATCTCTTGAGGGCTGTCTTGGTGGCTTTAGCAGTGATCAGGGCGGGCAGTTCTTCCTGCTTCATGTAACTGTCATGCATGCATGATTGTGTAGACCTTCTCGTTTTAGAGAATGTGCCTATATATCTGTATGTACTCTCTAGTCAGGCTCTTCTGTTGTCCTCAAATGCATTATATTGTTCAGAGTAATCTGAATAAGAAGATAAAGACTTTGGTGGAGTAGCAGAAGATGAAGTTACTATTCAGGAAATGAACTGCATGCATCTGTAAGGTTAGGCTGGTTCTTTGTGGCCATTGGCACCTCAGAAAAAACTAGTGAGTGTATGGCCCTGAAGCATATTTGGATTTCTGAATAAGGAAACTGTCTTTTATTGTTCTTACTTTTCCTAATTAAAGTACGATGCATGTTCTCTATATATCAGTAAGGTTATGCCAAATTAGTATCTCTGTCATATTTCACATTTCCCTTCTTATTTTAAACAACAGGGTGAGGCCATGAATATTGACTTGGGAAAAGTGGAAAAAATATAATCTTCATGTAGATCTGTGCTGGTGTTCTTCTTAGGTAAATAATGACCTCCTAGACATTTTCATCTGGATTAGAGTCTGGATTCTCTTATAGTTTAAATGTTTATGCTGTAACAATCATTAATAATCCACTCTGCCCAAACCCAAGTCATTTAAACAGCACTGATTTTTATTGTCATTAGTGTCAAGGCAAATTACTATTGATGTCAAAGATTTACAATGGTTCTATGCACTACATTTTTCTGTTGATTCCTAACAAGGCTCAACAGTAAAAAGAAACTTGAACAGGAAGACAACTTGTTCATAAAAAGTATTACTACTAAATAATCATAGAGGGTTTTAAATCATAGGATTAACACTTACAGCTTTGAAACTGCACTCCTGTAAGAGCAGAAAAATCACAACTGTAAATTCCTGTAATCAAACTACTATTACTCTAAATTGCTCAGTTAATCTTCTACCTCTGTCTCTTTTTTTTTTTCTCTTTCCTAGGCACATGTGTATGTGGGGAGTGCACATGCCATGATGTGGACCCAACTGGTGACTGGGGAGATATTCATGGAGATACTTGTGAGTGTGATGAAAGAAACTGCAAAACAGTGTATGACAGATATTCTGATGACTTCTGTTCAGGTAAGGAATATATATTAAAGGAAACTGCGTGCAGTATTATAACAAAAGCATCCAATTGGTCTGATCTTGCTCTTCCTTAGTGCTCCAATTCTCATTTTCCTAAAATATAACTAAAATATACCAAGCTGATTTTTTGGGGAGTGGACTTTATAAATTAAAAGACATAATTCTGTTAAAAAATTGTTTCCAGTTCTAAAGCTTTCTTAAAGCATATCTTTTTTATTAAGCCTTTTAACAAAATTCTGTAAATACTAAATAGTTTTAGATGCCCATTTCCCTTCTAATGCTCTTGTCTTCAGTATAACCTAACATAAATTGCAGATTGGTTGAAACTTTAAGATATATGTATATATTCTTCCTTGGGGAAATTTAAATTTTAAAATTTGTTAGATCAAATTTTATTTGTTATGTCATGTTATATGGCAGGGAGAGGAAAAATGAGCTGAAGAAATTAGAGAAAAAATGAATTAATGAGTTAATGAAAAACAGTACCCTGAGAATACCAATTGACCTAAGAACAAGTAGAGCATCAATACGTGGAAAATATGAATGTGTGGTCCAGCTATAAATCACTGACTGTACATCTTACATACTTTCACCTTCATTTTTTCTTCTACTTGTACTTCGGAGCATTATATTTAGATTAGTTAAGGTCCGTCCAGCCATCCAGGGTTTGCAGTATATTTAGATTGTTGCGCCATGTGTTAACTAACAAAAGCTGAGATTCTGAGTGAGAACTTGCATACAGTTTTGTACAGTTACCAATAAAGATGCTAATACTGGGCAGGAGAGAAGGACTTTGATCACTACGCACCATGCTATTTGTACACACAGGAATTTGCAAGAAGAAACAAGGGTGATTTCAAAGGGACTTGACAGATTACAGGTTATCAGCTTTAATGTGTCCTGTAGAAATCTGTTCTGTCCTAATCAATAATAGGAAGAATGCAGTCACATCAAGGAAAATAATGATGTGATATATTCTCCTATTACTATAATGAGAGATACCTCATAGAAAGATCGTAGGAGTTGTCTGTAATAGGGAGAGAAGGCTGAAACAAACATGATGATACATAAAATTCTTAGCCTCTTCTTTGACTGTTATAAACATGAAATCTTTCTCAACTGTTGTGTTAGGGTTTTTTGTTTTTTTTTTTTTTTTTTTTTTTTAATAAATATGTCCTGGGTTGAGTGAGTGGTGGAGTTTTTTGGTGGCAGGGGAGGGGGCTATCAGGGTGGCCCCCTGTGAGAAGTTTCTCGAAGCTCCCCCAGCTCCAAGCCAGCTCCACTTCTGTTTGGGAAATTGAGCCAATCAGCTGCGCCTCTGCGATAACGTATTTAAGAAGGGACGTGGTGACGGGCAGTCGGACTTGTGAGGAGGAGTTGCTGCAGCTGCATGAACACCAAGGTCAGTGGAGGAACGGAGGAAGAAAGGAGGGGGGAGGTGTGCCGGAGCAGAGACCCCCCTGTATCCTGTGGTGAGACAGCAGGGCGGCCCCCCCTGCCACCCATGAAGATCTATGGTGGAACAGACATTGATTCATGGCCTGTGGCTCCTGCTTGCATGATCAAGGTTCTATGCCCAAAGAAGGCCGGGGTCTCATGGGAAAAGGTAGCCATGCTGCTGGGAGGATTGCAGCATGCGGGGGTGTCCCATGCTGGAGCAGCTTGGGAAGGGCTGCAGCCATGGGAGAGAATCCAGTCAGAGGAAGTTAGTGACCCATGACGGAGCAGTGTGGGGAACACAGTGGCCCATGGGAGGGACTCACATCGGAGAAAGTTTGTGGAGGACTGTCTCCTGTGAGAGGGGGAACCACGATGGAGCAGGAGGAACAAGTTCCAGACACTCCCCTCACCGAAGATGAAGAAAGTGGCAGTGCTGAATGCACCCCCATTCCCTGCCCCTGCGCTGCTGGGGGAGGAGGTAGAGATATCGGGAGCAGAGCTGAGCCCGGAAAGAAGGGAGGGGTGGGGGAAGGTGTTCTCAAGATGTGGCAATACTTCTCACTGTCCTACTCTGTTATGTGTTGTTAGTGTCTGTAATAAATGTATGTTCTTTTTTTTCTTCCCCTAACGAGTCTGCCTTTTGCTTGTGACCATAAAGGGGAATTTTTTCCCTATCCCAGTCCCATCTCGAACCCCAAGCCTGGCTCTCTGTCCCTTCTCATTGCCGGAGGGGAAGGGAGAGAGAGCTGCTGCATTGTGGTTGGCTGCCAACCAGGCCCAAACCACAACAAAATATCATTGAATCACTAGCTAATAGAATGAGAGAGAAAAAAAGGCATTTCTAAAAACCTTCAGTGAATTCATTTGCTTGTTTCTGTTTCAACTACCTACAAATGTTATATAAGTTTATTTAATTAATAATCTGGAAGTATGTAGAACTACAGTCATGAGAGCAGCAGGAGGATTGACTCTGAGATGTTGTCAATTTTTGAATGTATTATTGTGTTGCCGAGTATATTTTTAGCACTCAGGTACTGATCAAAATGTCAGCATCATCTAAGGAATACAAAGCTAAAAAAAAATCAGCATTTCAAACCTAATTGCAATAAAGCAAACCTGTGGCATCTACAGATAATGCTGCATCAGTGAAACAAGTCTTGAACTCCCTCTTTCCCAAACATTATTGCTATTGCTGCTGCTGCTGCCCAGGGTGGTAATGGTTGTAAGAAAGCAGAGTGTAATGAAGTATGGACAGTTACAAAGGAGTTGGGGGGAAGATATTGCCATTTGACATTGATTAAGGACTGGTACAGTGTTCTTTATTACGCAGAGATAACTGTAAATGTGAAAACCTTAAGAGAGATACAGAAGGAGGTACTCATAGGGCTTGCTTGATGTGACTAAAACTCATGTTGAAGTATAGCTTAGTTTTTCTATCTAATCAGTAAAAATTTTAGTACTACTACTTATTCTTATCCCTTCCTTTTCCATTATGTTTTAGAAAAGCCTAATTTAGCCTTATCTGGACATCCAAGTATGAATTTCTCAAATAGATTGCAAAAAAAATCCATTTTCACATAAAGCAGTGTGAACAATGTCTTATAATCCTGCTCTTTAGTCCAGTTTCAGAAATAGATAAGATGCATAAGTATTAATTTTTATTTATTGTTGCAGACAAAAAGAATCTGTAATTAAATCAAATATTTACTAGCAGAATTTTAACTGGATAGCTTTTTTATTTGTTTATGTGAAATAAATGTACTTAGTTCAGGAAGTGTGCATGCGTTCAGTGTGTCTGCAAAATATCCTATTTTCCAATTATTTGTAAACCGATTTAGGATGAATCCAAGAGAGATTAGTCAGATTAGGGAGAATAATCCATGTCTCTTAAAAGCTACATCAAATGGAACTGATATAAAACTTTTCCTGTCTCGTTTTTTCTACCTAATAGGTAGAGACAGGAAATCACATTGTCCTGAGTAGCAGATTAAAATTGTAGGAAATCATGTTTACACGTAAAGAGCTTTACTGTAACTGAATGAAATGCTGTGTTCATTTCATTAACTACAATTGACAGGAATTGACAGCCCTGCTGTGAGGATTTAGCATCACACCACAGCAGCTCCCTCCAGAAGCTTCATATGACTTGGGGTGACTGTCAATTTGCAGTACCTGATATTGGCAACTGGATGTCTTCTTTTAACATCTGAAGTGCTGTTCAGTATGTTACTGAATGATTTTCTTTCACAGGTGTTCACAACATTAAAGTGATTCTCCTTTAAAGAGAGAATAGCTTTTATGATTTAACATAGAAAAAAAAAAAGGCTTCAGTAGGAAAATTCCTACATTCACACATCTCATTAGCTCCTTTGCTGTGGCTCCAGCAAAGAAAACATTATATGAAAAAACACCATCCTCTCGTAAGTATTTATCTGGTTCAGGGAACATATGTCCAATTTACAACCTGTCAGCAGGTACACATGAAAGAAAAGGACAGAATCACAGAATCATAGAATGGTTTGGGTTGGAGGGGACTTCGAAGATCATCTAGTTCCAACCCCCCTGCCCCGGGCAGGGCCCCCTTCCCCCAGCCCAGGGTGCTCCCAGCCCCGTCCAACCTGGCCTGGAACCCTTCCAGGGAGGGGGCAGCCACAGCTGCTCTGGGCACCCTGTGCCAGGGTCTCGCTGCCCTCACAGTAAAGAATTTCTTCCTTATATCTGATCTAAATCTACCCTCTAAACAACAGGAAGAATTTAACTCTTTTCAAGGGAAACAAATAACTAATGTAAAGAAAAGTTATTGTTAAATTAATTACTTGTATTCTGGGAACTACTCTGATAACTTGTATAATAACTGTATTCTCCCATTTTCTCCTTGTGAACTGATAAATACATAAGTTTTAGAAATACAATATGCAAGTACACTTAGAAAGAGATATAAAGTCTGTGTTGCTATGGTTTTCAAGAAGAACCTAGATAGACAAGTGGACATCAGAGCAATGCTTTGGGGTCCTGTGTCCAGTGGACGATGACTATGTGAAAACTGTGAGAGAAGATCGAACCTGCGGTCAGAGCTTATGAAAATAAATATTTGATTTTGTGGCAAAGAATGTTTTTGCTGATGCTCAAGCTTTCTTCATCCAGTGCAAGGAACATTTTGTATTGCCAGAATCCTGCTGCTTTATGCAAAGATGCACATGATGAAGGGAGCTGGGCAATTAGCTTACTTTTTCTTGATCTGGTTATGTTAACATTCATATAGATTGTTTGAATGATTTTCCAGGTTCAGTTCTCAGGAGGGCTTCTCCCGTATCTTCCTGGCTGTCATGTTTTCTGGAAAAGCTTCTATAGAGTTCAGTTGTTTCTCCTCACCTCAATTTGCACAGTGAAAGTTGTGTTTATGTTGTTATATTCAGATATGGTCATGAAGACTCAAGTTAGCTAATGAGATACCAAAACTACATCCAACTGCCCTATTGAAATGACAGTTGATTATGTCCAGTATTTCATTATTTGCACATCAAAATTTAGTAGAAGGTACTTGTTTGAGTCTTTGAATTGGAGTGATATTTCTTGTCTCTAGTAAATCGTGTTGATTGCAGGTGGATAAAAGATGATATTGATATATTACATAGAGAATATGCTGCAACTGTGGTAGAAAAATAAGAACATAAAGGTAAATTCAATATTGCCTTATAATGGCTCCACTTTTCCAGACAGTGGATAAATGTGTATTTGTAACCTCTGTTCCACCCTTTTGCATGAGGAATATGTGCCAAGTGGCAAAACATCCCTTAAACAAAAAAAAAAAAAATAAAAGGAAATATGGCTCAAATGGAATGATAGACCAGTGCTATTTTCAGAAAAAAATAGATATAGTGAATTGATTGTATTTTTTGCCAGCCTGATCATTTAATAAAACCACAACTTTGATAAACTTCATCTAATCATGAGCTTTTAGTATCTATCATTGGTATGGAACTAATCTGTAATTGTGTTCTTTGTAAAGGTCATGGACAGTGTAATTGTGGAAGGTGTGACTGTAAAGAAGGATGGACTGGGAAAAAGTGTGAACACCCAAGTTATTGTCCATTATCATCTGAAGAAAGTGCTAAGAAATGCCAAGGAAATTCTAATTTACCTTGCTCTGGAAGAGGTAAGCACATTTCTGGAAGAATTTTCATGCCCTTAAAATGTACTTCCACTAAAAGAACTTTTACAGATGCCCAGCATTACTGGTACTGAAAAATGTGAACTTTCTTGGCTTACTGTGCATGAATCAGACCTTTGTAACTTGTGAGTTATGAGAAGGGAGGAGAAGAATACAAAGGGCACCTATTTTTCCTGTCGTCTACTGCTTTGTATTTTATTTTACATATCTCAACTTTTGTTTTGGAGGTTTTCAAGGATGCTTTGAAGATTGCTGTAGTTAAGTCTTTACTAAAGATACATTAAAAATATGATCCTATTCTATTCATTCTTTGACAAAACCAGAATGGGATTTTCATCCTGTGTAAAATATTGTGGCATCACTGTGATAAGAGCTGTTTGGATTTACACTGCCTAAGAACCTGCCCTACTGAGTGCATTCTAAAATGCAGTTGTTCTTCAGTGCAGTTTGTGAGCTAGCCGCTGACTTTTCATTTGAAAGCATTTATTTGTGACAGTGTAGCCTTTCCTAAAAAAGGTTTGACTAAAAAAATAGTATATACTAAGCCATTCACACAATTGAAATGCACATCGCAAGCAAAAGGACACTTTTCTCAGAGGGAAAGGGACCTGCTAATTTTCATCTGTCACTGTGTGAAATGTGGTTTTCTGCAGAGAAAAGAGAGAAAAGTAAATATGAGACAGACTTCTGCTGGAACAGGTAATTGAAGTTGTTATGAATTCTGCCCACTTAAGTATTTACTGGGAAAGGTTTAAAGCTACTCTTGAATTATTGCGTTTGACCCTAAATGTCATTTAATTTGTAATTTCTTCTTTCACTAATACTATCTAACCTGGACAAAAATTGTAGGCTGTCCACCCATGTTAGCACTGTGATAATTATGTTTTTCTCTCCCTGTAAATGTGTAGAAGCTCATAACTTAGTAAATGCAGCATTAGCTGTATCTTAAAAGAACTATGTATTAACAGATTGTTGCTTGATTTTTTCTTAAGCTACAGTTCTCCAGTGAATTACATCTCTCTTGCTAAAAATTCTCAGAGGAGATTTTGGCTACAAGTTAGGTGAAACATGACCATTTGTAGAGAATTAACTGCATTTTAGCGTTTTACTGTTCATGATTGCAAGAATTATAACTAAAAGAAAGGGGTGTTGACATTTGATTTATTTTGGTTCTGTTCTTTTTTTTTTTTTTTTTAATACTTGCTCATGCTTTTCCTGTTCTCATTGGATGCCAAATATCTCTTCTATCATCTGTTTCACTAGGAGTTGTGTTTGTTGAGTGCTTGGAGTCAATTCTGTGATTTAATTGTATTGTGCACTATGAGGGTCAAATGATAGAGAAAAGAATGACAGTCATAAAACAAAGTTTAATTTGAATAAAAATACAGTCAAGTTACAGAACATATTGTTCTAATGCTGGCAGAGTTCTCCTGTTGAGATACTAGCAGTGATGTAAGTACCTTTCAGTTGAATTAATTTCACTGAATGATCAGTTGATCAAAATTTTCAAATAAAGTACAAGCAGTATCTACTGGAGCAAAAAGCTTAATTGATAATGGCTTTCACTGGACTTCCTTTGACTTCCAAACAAGAAGAGATCACCAAGGTTTATGAGGAGGGCAAATAGCACAGATGTTGATCTAGGACATAGTATGATAGGACAGCTGTTGTAATAAAAGAACAAGAGATTCTGTATTCCATGCTTGAAAGAAAATTCCCATGAAAACTGTAATTTTAAAATGTAATGTGGTATCTTGTTTTAGTTCTATGAACAATTTTGCTTAGAGAATTGGGACAGAAAAAGAGAAAATAGATTTTAGTCTAATAATTTGTAACTTACTGAGTAGTGTATTTTTTTACCCTGGACTCCCTGGATTTCCCTTTCTTCCATCATATAATAAAAACCATGAAAAAGTTCCTGTACTGCTGAAGTGATGTAGGCATTTAGTTCCTATGAAAAATTGTCATTGGACATGCACAGTTAAATTCTTTGGTCCCATTTACTTGGCATTATAGCTTGTCATGGGCAGAAGTGTTACACAAGCAAATGAAGCAAAATAAAGATTTCCAATCAAACACAACCTCTTTCAAGTCTTCTGGGGTGGGAAAGGTCATGGACTTGTAACACCAGCCCCAATTTTTCTGAAGTCTATAGGGAGGATTTTGTGACAAGGAAGGGAAAGTTCCAAAGCAAATGGAAGTGTTACCTTTTCCTTTTGAACATTATTGTTTTGGTAACCCTCTTGTAATATTTTTCTACTAACTGTGGTACAAGGACAGTAAGCCATTGTACAGGCCAGGAGTGCACTACACTGCTGGAGAAGCTAGTACTTAATGTCCTTGTTTAATGGGATCTTTTCGTAAAGCAGTTAATGTATGGAATTAGATGCAGAATGGAGAGCCCAGAGATGCAGGTGCATGATTTTATGACTTTGCTATGTATTGTATTTCCTTGAAGAATGTTTTCTATTCATCTGTACCCTTTTTTTCTTAGCTTATTCAACAACAATTATGACAGCTAACACACTCTTTTGCAATCACTTTTATGGTCTTGGATAAAGACATTGAAGAACAAAGCATTTTTAGGATATCTAATGCCATATAGATAGCCAAAATGTGTAACAAGAAAATGATAGAATTGTTACAATTTGGTCTCTATAGTGTCTGTCTAAATGCTGACATACACTGAAATTTTCAGGTGAAGGAGTTAAAAACTTCAGCTGTGATATTCTGTTCCCAAGATTAACAAAAATTATATTTCTTAGATGGTATTTTCTTGTTGAAATGTTACGTATGATTTCAAAATGTGATAATCCTTCACTTAAACAGTAGTAAAAAACCCCAAACATTCTGCCCGAGGAAGCATTAAAGAAATAGTTCTGCAAAGCTTTGGCTGGCCATTTTTAGTTTTTTGTGCATTTTGCAAAAGTTTCTGATATGAACGATTATAAAACTCCCAATGATTCAGCTTCAGTCTGTGCAATCCCCAATTATAATTACAGAAGGTGAACCAAGAAAAAAAAATGGAAAAAAAAAACCCCACACCAAACCAAGCCACCAAGTCCTCTAAATTCCTCATAAAAGAAAGGTTTAGGCTTTGTATATTTTTGTGTCAGAGATTTGGAATGGTGGGGGCTTACATTAAAAAAAATATATACCCCTTAATTCACTTCACAATATTGTACAATATTAGCACAAAATTCATGGCAATATGATACTCTTCAAAAATTTTCAAGCAGTCTGAGGCACCAAAAGCTTCCATCTTTTAACTTAATTTTGGTAAGGTGCTTATTTTATACATTATACTTCGTTTTTACAGGTAATGATGAATGGAAAAGAAAAGAGAATGTTAGCCTAATCTTACTCCTTTTTTTTTATGATTCAATGACCCAATATGTTTGTAATATTAAGTTTTCATATAAAGTACTGGAGTTTTATATAAATGTACTCAAATTTTTATTAGTTACCTTTAAGGCAAATTATGTTCCTACATAGGCAGAAATAAAGAAAGTATCAGCAATGCAAACTAAGAGAATTGTCATGTGCCACCCAGATTTTGATAATTCCAGGTTCCCTTAACTATAAATCATGTAATCCTAGCAAGAGAAAAAAAGATATAAGAAAAAGTTAACAGTGAAAGAAATAATTTTTAAAGTATTTAATATTTTAAGGGTACATAAAACTTGTATTAAAAATTTTAGACAATTAAAAGGATGTTATGAAGAACACGACCTAATTAGATAATCACTATCTATAAAATGCTATAGATTATAATTTCTCAGTCTGCATTTCACTATCCTGAGAGCAGATGAAGCAGTGAAATTTTATTCCAGACTGTAATTCCCTTCCTGATTTTCCCCAGCCACTCACAGGAATAACAAGATCTTTCATGGGTGCTGGTCAGCATGTGAGAAGAGCAGAGGTGCTGCCAAAAATACATTTCACCATGGTCTTATATTTGTTAGCTTCTTCAGTAGGTGAAGGAGAGAGAAGACCTTGTATTGACATGTTGAGCATTAAGTGAGAATGTCTACATTCTCAAATGACGTTATAAAGGCAGAGGAAATGTAAATCCTCTCAGTTACATCAATCAGGCTGTCTTTACCTTCAGTAGTTCCTGTTATATATAATGGGAGAGACGTTTCAGATGAAAATTTTGGCAATTAAAATACACTGTCACTAGGTTATTTCCAAAAATTACCTTTCCTATGAAAGCATGTTGAGGATGACAAGAGATTCTAGCCAGTTTCATTCATACAAGGTGAATAATTCCTTCTACACTTTCATTCCTGAGAGTGCCTTTTATACTTCCTGCATGATTTTTCACTATAAATGTAATATTTTCTCAGTGAAAGTCTGTCCCTTCTAAGAACATACTGTACAACAAGATCAGTGTCAGAGATAAGGGAAAAGACCCACCAAAAATATTTATGGCAAGAAATAAAAAGATAGCATATTGTTGTCAAGATTAAAGGACAAGACAAATCACTTTTCTCTTTAAAATGTGCATCGCTCACTTGAGTTTCCCCTTAGGGCAAAAAGCAGATTTCAAAATATTTATAATTAAAAAGCCTTCAGGAAGAGAACTGAAAATAAAGAGTAGGTTTTGAGAATAGATGAGAGGTTTTTTAAAAATAATTTTGTTCTCATCGCTTACCCTTAGTGAAGGCAGCCATCCCATGACAGTGATCCAAAGCCAGATAAATGACAAATCTTCTTATTGGTAGCGTCTTTTACCATTTTAATCTCTTTCATATTATTGCTTTTATTTATTTGTCATATGGAAAGAATGAGACTGTTTCATTATCTGTGAAATTCCCCCTTAGACTTGTCCTCTAGCATTGACTATCTGAAATATGAAGAGATTTTTGATTCTGTACTGAAAAAGATTTCTGTAGTTTTTGCGAACTCTCCTAAGTCCCATTTTCAAAATATTAAATTCATGAGTTCAAAAGCTGTATGGCATTTTGAAAGTTTACCAACAT